GAACCCAGGCCGCCAGCAGCAGAGCGCACGCACTTAACCGCTAAGCCACGGGGCCGGCCCCTTACTGGTATTTTCTGAAGTCTGGATGGTACATGTAGTGGAGACATGCCTAGCATAGTTCTTTTTAAAAATTATTTTCAGTATCTGCAGAAAGGAGCCCAAAAAAGTATTTTGAGTCACCTGGAAGGAGAGATGGAACCATTATGTTTTTCCTTTAAAATATTTTTTATTTATGGGGCTGGCCCGGTGGTGTAGTGGTTAAGTTTGTGTGCTCCACTGCGGCAGCCCAGGGTTTGCAGGTTCGGATCCCGAGCGCAGACTGATGCACCGCTTGTCAAGCCATGCTGTGGCAGCGTGCCATATAAAGTAGAGGAAGATGGGCACGGATGTTAGCCCAGGGCCAATATTCCTCAGCAAAAAGAGGAGGACTGGTAACAGATGTTAGCTCAGGGCTAATCTTCCTCACAAAAAAAAATTTTTTTTTATTTAGTTTTTAATTCCCAAAGTAGTGTATGTTTCCAATGGTACAGAAATGTACGGTACAGGTAAAAGTTCTCCCCTCAGCTCCTAATCCCACTCTCCAGAAGTAATCCCTGTCAGTAGTTTGCTATGTATTTTTCTACATCTGTTTTTATGCAATATGAAAATGAAGTTTTATTTATTCATTCAATAAATATTTATTGAGCACCTACTGTGTGCCAGGTATTATTCTAGGTGCTGGGAATCAAGTAATGAAACAAAAAAGCAAAAATCTCAGCCCTCATAGAGTTTACAATTCTAGAGGAGGGAGAGAGACCACAAACCAATAAAGAAAGACATAGATCGTGTAGTAGATGGTGGTGAAGGGAGGTGGAACGGAGAGCGCCAGGGCAAGAGGAGGGGTGAGGAGGCGTGACTCCCCCAAATGTAGACTATGGTCAGGGACTGTGGTCATTGCAAAGTGTCATTTGGGTGAGATGGGAAGGATGGAGGAAGCTATGAGGATATGGGGGAGGAATCCCAGGCAAAGGAAACAGCAAGTACAGAACTCCTGAGGCGTTGAAAAGAAGGCCAGGATGGTGCGAGCTGAAGGAGGCAGGGGAAAAGGAGGAAGTCAGAGCAGTAGTCGGGTGCCTGAGTGGGAGTGGAAATCGTGGTGAGGACTCGGACTCTGAATCTGAGTGAGAAATGAAGCCAATGAAGGGTTTTTAGCAGAGGAGTAACAGGGTTCTGACATGTTTTAAAAGGATAACTTTGGCTGCTATAGGTTTCTGTATAAAAAAAGTATTTAAAAAAATATCAATACAATTTGAATAGTGTAATGTGTTGTTTTTAACTAGAGAGTAGATCATGGACATCCTTCCATGCGAATAGAGGAGCTACCTATTTCTTTTAATGCTTCCTAGTCTATATTTGTTTTAAGATACCACTCCTCTATTTATTTATTAGCCATTCCCCTATTGTGGAAACTTAAGTTATTCTTAATTTTTCTGTTACAAACAATGATGCAGTGAATATTCTTTTTTGTGTACATGGCCAATATTTTTGAAAGATAGACTTGTAGAAGTCCAATTACTGGGTCAAAGGACACGCAGATTTAAAACTTTAATAGACACTGCCAAGTTACCCTCCAAGAAGACCATACTAACATATGTACATATTCCCTCCAACATTGTATCTGAGTGTTTATTGCCCCACATCATTGCTAACATGGGTTATTTATTGTTGATCCTTTTAATTTTTGTAAATATGATAAGCAAAAATGATAAAGTCAAATTTTAACTTGCTTTTCTTCGATTATTAGTAAGACTGAGCATGCTGTCATATATCTGTGGCCATGTGGATTTCTTCATCTGAGAATATCCATAATCTTTGCCTATTTTTCCATTGAATTGTGTTTTTTCCCAATATCATTTAAAAAAATAAAATTTAAAGTCCCAAGTTACATCAAAGAACATAGTCATTTCTGACCAATTAAACACTTTCTTTCTTATAGTTATTTTTACATAATAAAGTCTCATTAATTTGGCATTTAAGAACTTTGGGACAGCCTGCTCTGCAGGTGACCTTTGTACCATCTGTGATCAATTCTAGCAAGATGGCAAAAAAAAAAAATAGCAATTATATTCTCCAAGAAACAAATTCCTTAAGCTCCATAGTAATTCATGAAGTCCTTCATATCTAAAGAAAAATTAATGATGACATGGATTTCTATTTTTCTTTCATAGCTATTTACACTTTTCATAAAGGATCATTTAAGGACTATACTTCCTAAAATATATATTTTTGTATTTGATTATTCTTAAAACTTGCTGAAATTTTTAAAAGACCCAATCCAGGCAACTGGCAAACTGGGAAGTATTTTCATGCCTGGGTTCTGGAGAGACTGGGAAAGTTTAATTTAATTTTTAACAGCAGTGGCTTTCCTCTCCAGCAGTTGAGAAAAATTAATTCAACCAATATTTATTGAGATACCACCTGTGCCATGCTATGAACTTGGGATCAAGCAGTGAGAACATAGTGGATAAGGAGCCTGCTGTTATGAAGTTCATATTCTAACAGAGGAATATGGACAATAAAAAAGTAAAGAAAAATGATAATTTCAGAACTTATAAGTGCTATGAAGATAATAAAACAGAGAGGGCCAGAGAGGAGGAGGGATTACTCTCCACAGAATGCTCAGGGAAGGCTCTCAGAGCAGGTGACATTTGAGCTAAGACCT